GCCCGACGACCTGCGCGCGAAGTCGAGCACTTTACGGTAGCACAGTTTAACGAGGACCAATACCGCACACCCTCGGTCCCTACGCAGACTGATCCAAGTGGTCACCCACCCGCACACTGACCGTAGCCAGAGATGCTTGACTTCGGTGATCTGATGGGAACCGTGTCTTAACGATCAGTCCACTGCGGGACTTTCAACAGCTGCAGTACTGTCAGAAAGAGAAAAGATCAATTCCACCATGGTATGTTGCTGTATTTCCAGATTAGAGGGTCATTTTAATAGTGAGGCGCTAGACTCTTGTAAGATAAGAAAAATTTAAAATGTATCACGAACATTAACGGGAAAATGGCGGTCGGCGCGGACGTCGGATTCGAGAAATTTGTTGTCCGCTGGGAATTTTTGACAGCCGAGGACGGGCGGCTTTTCGAGCCCTGCCTGACATCCCCTTCTTGCACTTCTAAAAATGTTGCATTTACGCAATAGTAATCCTAAATGGGATAGTCTGTTGCGCACTTTTAGTCCTTTTTTCGTTATCTCTGCGCTTCGCATAGTCACTGCATTTCTGACGTCATCGCAGGTGTCAACTTATCGGCTTATTGGATTTTTATACATTTGCAGGCTTATAAGCCTTTGTCAAATAGAAAGACAGATAGCACAATACAGAGAAGGACAGCAGAAAGATACATCCAGGATAACAGCGGAATTCGAATCCGCTACCTCCACGCTTTGCACAGCGTTTTATGGGCGGGCGATACCACTCGGCTAGGGAGGCCGCGTTAACTTATCGTTTTAGTACAGCCTTTACATATTTTGTTGTTGTTGGTTTTATCTTGGTAATTATTACTTTAAATTTTTATTCTAATTTTTTTCGACATCTTTAGGTCATTACCTGACTCCATTGTCAATGTACCAAAGAGGAGACATAGCTCAAATCCTCACACAAAGATATGTCGCCTCTGGATCTAACTGTAGACTTTCTTTATGGTATTACATGGACCAAACTCAAGGAGCTACAATTTCCGTAATTTTGCTTCATAATTCAAGAATAAAAAAAGTAATTATCTAATTATCTGATAAAACTTTTTGAGTATTTACTAAAGGTGCATTCAAAAAGTATTTCTTCAATTTAATATAATAATAGAAGCTTCGATTTATCTAATTCCAAAAAAAAATTAATAAATAAATAAATAACATGATGGATGTAAATACTTTTAGTTTGTGTATAGTCCCTAGGATTTATTTCAAAACTATTATAAAATTTAACACAATAGGAGCTTTTAACTAACGGTGATTAAATTTTCGTCATTCTATTCGCCATGAAAAAATAAAACAACTTAATGTTATTAATATTTTAATTGCTTTAAAAAATATGAAGTTGAAAAGCAATTCGGTGTGTTTCAAGGACAGATTTTTTCGGTAGACCTGATATTATATTGATGGAGAATTACTTACTAATACTATTAATCCAATATTTATCAATAGAAAGAATTAATTACTACTTCATCCAATTATCTCGTGATGCAGATCTCAAATTTTGCAATCTTTAAGATCTCTACCACTTCGTAAATTTGCCGAAAAGGGAGCATTTGGCATCCCTGATTAATTGGGTACCTGCAACTCGAGAAGAAGGCGATCACTGATACACAGACACGTGACTTATGACCTCAACGCCAGCTTATCGTTTACAAACAAGATGGCGAGAAACAAGATGGAAGAGTCGAGCTACGTTTCTCCACATAAGTTAGAATGTTAATTAAATACAATGCCGTATCACACATCAAATATGTTGAAATATATATAATTCTTGTCTGTGCCTTTTTCTTAACTTATATGCATAATTTGTTCATGTACTTCATTGTAACCGTGATATATTTTTATTTTGTGTTCTTGGCAACTTCGATGCATAATTAGTTTGTTTATGGCTTCGTGCCTGTCTTAGTGTTAAGTAAAAAATGTGTGAAAATAATGGAAAAATATAATGGAAGGAATTGAAATCTTTCTTAAAGAATTTAGAATGTGCCACTCAAGAAAATTGAGACTTAACGGGCTTGGCTTACGTGGAATGGAAGAACAGTTACTAAAGTAAGAATATGCCACGTTTCAACATCCAATCAGGATCGAGATATCCACACTACGTCATTTACTGGTATCCCAATGAAGCAAAATTCCCCAACGAAGAAATTTTGTTGCATTTGATAAGATATATTATGCTAGCTGAATGTCCTGTCTTCTTAAGCGTTTAAAAAAGAAGAGATAATCACTAAATCGATGTATACAGAGATGCCAACTGCTCCGGACACGCCAAAATAATTATAAAAAAAACGGTAAGTAACCACAAAATAAATTTTGCAAATATTTGACTACTTTTTCTTGCTTTTTTAAAGGTATAGCATGACATTAATACTATAAAACATTAATACTATAAAGCGGTGAATTATATAAGCCTACGAATTATTTAGAAATAGTGGTGGATAAAAATCTACTAAATTGAATTTATTAAATCAAGAATCACAATTGATAAACTACCACTTTAAAATAAATATTTGCTGTCCGGTGCAAGTTGGCATCACTGTGTATATCAAACAATACGAAATCATGATTATGACTAAAAGGCATATAATGGATGAAAAATAGATTATATTATCCTAGTATTAGTGTTTAGATTTTATTGGGCACCTGGGCCGCGAAACGGCCCCTATCCCATTTATCTGGAATTTTTGAACAGTTTTGGTTGAGCAATGAGGTAAGCAGGCAATGGAGTTGCTTTTATGAATGTTTCAAGCTCTTTGCTTATTACACAAATGTTATTACATTATGAA